TATATATATATATATATATATATATATATATATATATATATATATAGGCACAGGGTCTTTTCTGAGACTGGTTCTCCAACCAAGGACCATGTATGGATATAACCTAGTACCACTGCTCAGATGGAGCCCATGACAACTCAGTATCCAAGTGGACTCCCTAGTAAGGGGAACAGGGACTATCTCTGACATGAACTCAGTGGCTGGCTCTTTGACCTCCCCAGCCCCAAGGGAGGAGCAGTCTTGCTAGATCACAGAGAAGGAAATCGCAGAGAGTCCCGAAGAGACCTGATAAGCTAAGGTCAGATGGAAAGGGAGGAGGACCTCCCCTATCCGTGGACTTAGCGAGGGGCAAGGAGGAGATGAGGGATGGAAGGTGGGATTAGGAGGGAATGAGGGAGGGTGCTACAGCTGGGATACAAAGTAAATAAACTGTAATTAATATAAAAATAAAGATGTAATAATAAAAAAGAAAAGCCACAGTGGCTGGGGCACTGGAAGTGGCAGGGTTGTTACTGTAACAGGTCCTTGGGGCTGGGCACGAAGCTTAGTGGGCCATGATGTATGGATCATACCTGTGGTCCCAGCTCTTGGGAAATGGGAGGCAGGAGAATTGGAAAGTCGCGGACACTTTTGGCTCCCTAGCAAGCCCAAGATCAGCCTGGGATATATGAGAGCCTGTTTTTTTTAAAAAAATAGTTTTCAATATTCCTCAATGAAACTGTGGAAAATAGAGATTAGCAAGTAATCCCTGGCGAAATAAGAACCAGCTCAAACTTCAAGCTCCTATGAAGACTGGATTTCTGTTGGTGAGGTTTTGTTGTTGTTGTTTTGTTTCATTTTCAAAACAGGATTTCTCTGTATAGCTTTGGCTTTCCAGGACTCACTTTGTAGACCAGGCTGGCCTCAAACTCATAGAGATCCACTCGCCTCCCCTTGTGCTGGGATTACAGGCATGCATCACCACACCCAGCTATTGGTCAATTCTTAATAACTTGTCTCCTTGCTAGAGATATTATCTACATGTTGTTGAAGGATGGAAACTACCAATGGAAGACTATGCTGTTTTACACAGTTGTAATCTCTGAGGAAAGTTAAATCACTGTTTAGTCTTTTATAGTCTTATTTGGATTGAATAGATTCCTGGCCTCTACAAATACATTAACTGTTTGTTGGAGTATGTGGTATTTTAAATGTATTTTAAAATATTAGCATCCCAATTTTAAATGAAGATGTAAAAAAAAAAAATCAAAAGTGGATAGATAATTTTCCTATTTTTTCCTTGTAAGTGGTATCACTAATTTGCATGTGGGCCTTGAACCTAAAATACTGAAGCAGTTGATGCAGGGAGTAAGCGAACATCTTCCTAAAACCCTTTCCAGCTTTCCTTGTCTCTCTTGTTCGTTTTCAGCTTTCAAAGTCAGAGGTCATAGCTGATTTCATCCATAATTTCCCTGTTCTTCTCCTGCTCTTCCCCCCTTCTGCGGCAGATCTATAGTAGTAGCCTGAACGTCTCTTTCTGTCCACTCTCAGTCAGGCTTCCTCCTCTCCCTGGATGAACTCATCCCACTCCTTCCCCAGTGGGGTTTTGGCACACAGTAGGACTCAGTATGTTTTCTCTCCCCACACAGTAAGACTCAGTGTGTTTCTTCTCTCCTGTTTTTCCTAGTCTTTTTGTCCCTATATATCTCCTAAGTGCAGGTTCATGCCTAACTATCACAGGCCTTCTTTTACATATTATTTTTTGACAATCACTTCCAATGTGTTAGCACCCACTAGTTAATATGCTGAGAGTATATTTGGAAAGTACAGAAGATACGAATAAAAATTACAAAATGTTGCACTGACCATCTGCCCCCAGTGAACTGTATGATTTTCTGATCAGTTTCCTTCCCAGCTTTCTTCTACAGCTCTCCCTTTTTAAACATCAAAATTATAAAGGAAATAGAATTCTTTTTCTTCTTTCTCTCAAGTAGTTTTACTTTGTCTTCTTTTATAAGCAAAGACAGCATGCCATTTGCAGGCAAATGGATGGAACTAGAAAAGGTCATCCTGAATGAGGTAACCCAGAAGCAGAAAGACGCACATGGCACATACTCACTTATAAGTGGATGTTAGCCATATAGGACAGCATAGCCATGCTACAATCCACAGACCCAAGGAAGGCAAGGAAGGCCCAAGGGAGGGTGCTTGAATCTCACTCAGAAGAAGAAATAAAATTGATCTCTGACATAGATGAAAGGATGAAACTGGGTGGGAGAGGGATAAGGAGGGGTACAGGGGTGAGAATCAGGTGTGGGGAGAGCAGAGGTAGGTAGGGTGGGGGAGGACTGGGAGAGAGAACAGAAATCAGTGGGGGAGTCATCTCTGGGACAGGGAGGCTGTCGGGAGTCTATGGCGGTGACCCTAGCTGAGACTTCTAGCAGTGGGAGTTAAGGATCCTAAAGATGCCATCTCTTGTAGCCAGATGGGACTTCCAGTGGAGAGAGGGGGACACCAACCCACCCATAAAACCTTAGACCCAAACTTTGTCTTGCCTACAAGAAGTGTAGGGGTAAAGATGGAGCAGAATTTGAAGGAATTGCAAACCAATGACTGGCCCAACTTTAGACTCCCCTCATGGGAGAGAGCCAACTCCTGACACTATTAATGATGCTCTGCTTAGCTTGCAAACAGGAGCCTAGCATAACTGTCCTCTGAGAGGCTTCATCCAGCAGCTGATGGAAACAGATGCAGAGACCCACAGCCAAACAATAGGCTGAGCTCATTCAGGTAGTCTCGTGGAACAGTGGGAAGAAGGATAAAGGGAGCTGCAGGGGTCGAGGACACCACAGAAGACTTATAGAGTAAACTAACCTGGGTACATGGCACACACAGAGGCTTAACCACGAACCAAAGAGCTTGCATGGGCCTGGACCTAGAACCCTTAAACGTATGTAACAGGTGTCAGCATGGCCATCATGTGGGTGCCCTAACAATGGGAGTAGGGCCTGTCTCTGACTCTGTGACCTGCCTTTGGCTCCCTTTCCTCTAGTTGAGCTGCCTTGTCTGGCCTCAGTGGGAGAAGATGTTCTTAGTCTTGCTGTGACTTAAAATGCCTGGGTGGGTTGGTACCCTTTGAGGGCCTCCCCTTCTCTGAGGAGAGAGGTGGGGGGAAGGGTGCATGAGACTGGGACTGGGAGGAGAGGAGGGAGGGGGCTGGGATCAGGCTTTAAAGTGATTAAACAAACAATTTAAGGCAGTACACTGAGCCCTTGGTGGTACCGTGTTAACACAAGCTGATTCTAATGTTGATCTTAATGTTGCTTTCATCCCTTCATTAAACTATGTGAGATGGTTTTGTGTCCCCAAAGTATTTTCTAAAACATGTGATTTAAACAAAACATATCTGTGAGAAAAGGTGTTTTTCTCTTTCCCACAAGCAGGTTCAGCACTGTTCATGGCGGACCTGGTCAGTGTTCGGGCTGCCCGTGCTTGCCATTCCTCACCCAGCCCACCATTTCTGCTTCAGGGTCTTTAAGCATTCAGAGAGAGATGACGGGATACTCAACACATGGATTTTGGGACAACTGATTCAACACACTTCACTTCCTACTTAGGCTGGTGCCTGTTGCCTTTCTTCTGTTTTAGAAGCGCTTGTGGAAGAATTGAGGAATGGAACCAGAGGAAGAAGAGGGAAAATGTCCCCTTCCCACACCCTCTGGCAAACAACCTAATATTTTTGATCTATTTCTTCCTGATCTTTTTCCTTACATAATTTCTAGGATTCTTCTTAATTTCTATATGCTTGTCATTAAAATGTCTGCAACAGTTTGCATTTTATTGAGTATTTTACACATACGTGTTCTGCTGTATGCTTCTAAGAGGTTTCCTCTCACAAACACATGGTGTTATTTTGGTGTTCTCTTCCCTGGGGAGATCGCAGCCTTTGATGTCTCTCAGCCCCTCTGTCTGTGCTTTTCTGAGCTCTGTATTAATTGCCTTCCCTTACTCTGAATGAACACTGTGTTGGAAATTTTCCTGTAAAGCTTTTTCTCTCTAATTAGAATAACAGCCTCCAGAAAGGCAAACAAGTGGTTATTTCAGTTTTTCTAAAGAGCTTATCAGCTTATGCTTAAATTGTAAAGAAACAAAATAGAAATCTCCAAAGAAATGGAAAACTTTCAAATGTTGACTTATGAAGACGAGATACATAACTTGGAATTGCTTCTCCGGCAATTTCTGGATGTTTCTGACTGAATTCGGGAGAAGGTGTATGTGGCTGTTTGCATGTGCTTGTCGGAATACACTGGTGGGCTTCTTAAAACCAATCCTGTCACTTCCCAATGTGCTTGCACCCAGCCTCGCAGAGCTCTGGTGGAAAGGCCACTGGAGTGAGGATGGCCAGAGACACTCCTTCCAACTCACTCTGGCCTCTCATGATGGGAACAGTCCATTCCAAACCTCAGCTGTATCAGCTGCACTATAGGGAAACCAAATCACATTTTGGTAGGTTCTACGCTTCAAAGGTAAAATAATTAGCACTTACGAGGTCTGCTTGGGTAGACTGCTGAGGGACAGTCACCATAGGACCGAAGATCTGACAGAGACTGAAAGGGAAGGCAGGACACGTCAACACTCAACACCAACAACTAACGCCCTCGCCCTCAGTACCGAGGATATGAGCTCGACCTCTTTACTCCTCATCTCATTTTCCCAAGTCATTGCTCCCACTGCCAATAGCGTAAGATTAGTACACACAGATTCTTGTTAGAAAAATGCCTCCAGTGCTCTGAATGAACCAATAGAGATCTAAAACAAAACAAAACCTGGATCTTATAAAAGCAAGACACAACTGAAGATGTCTTAGTCATACGCTGAATGTCTGACCCTTTAAGTTTTTACTGGAAAAAAACATTTTCTACAATGCAACAACCAAATAATAATATTTAATATAATAATGCTTTAGAAATATCTTGAGTGTGTCAAAGATTTTTATTGCACTGGTGTGTGTGTGTGTGTGTGTGTGTGTGTGTGTGTGTGTACTATTCATGCTAAGGCACCAGTTTTCTCTTTCTATCATGTTGGGGTCAGGTGGCAAGCACTGTGCCGCTGAGCAGTATGGTTTTATAATGATGATTCTACGGGATAGAAAATTCTAGCACTCATCAGCAACAAACCCACCAGACGGAAAAGTCTGTCAGTGTCGTGATCAGCTGGAACTAACTGAGCAGACTCAGTCTTTCCTACACCACAAGTATGCGCTCTGACACGTCCTGGATGGTGTGTTTCTTTGTGTACACAGTGCACACTCTGAGCATCCTGTAGTCAGGTGAGTGTCTACTCAGTGATATACCATGAACCATGTGTGTTCTTGAGTGTCCGTGGGAACTTGTGTTTTCCTAGAATGGCACCATTGATATTAATTTTCTGGTTCTGGGCATTTTCCACAGCAAATTGGAATGTTCCCTTTAAGATGGAAGCAGCACCTAAGTTCCTTCCCGGTGTGAGCCTGAGAACATGAGAACACGCACCTCCTCAGACCTGGCCGTGGTCTTGCAGAACTGGCGGTAGTATTCCCAGTATCTTTCATCTTTTTTGTTCAGAAACTGCATATCCAGGTAGGTTAGGAATCTCTCTGGGCACCTGGAGACACAGATCTGTGGAGCAGAGAGGCACAGCAGTAGGAACGCACAGGGATAAGCCAAGGGTTAGCCGTTTGCAGGCTTGGATGGGCTTCTGGATTTTCCACAGCATGAAGAAAGAAGCACTGCTTTTCGTCTTAGTGACTTGAATCACTATTGCCATTCTGAGTAAAATTAGGTTGAGTATAGAATGCTACCAACCTGTCCTTCATGCCTCTAGGTCTGTGTTAAAGCAAGATAGTGAACAGCAGTGATATTCTATGCTGGGATTTTTAAATCAGCGCACACTGCGGTAGAGACCATTTCAGCACTCTTGAGCAGGTGCTGCTGTGGTCCTCCTTCCCACCACTTTCTCCCAGTTGCCCCCTTCCTCCTTGTACCCCATCATTTTCCTCTTTCGTGCCCTGTGTTTTCTTTTCCAGGCACCCACCCCTCCCCACCACCTCATACCAACCTCTCTAGAAAAGTGTGATATGAAGCGAGGTGACCCATACTTAGGAGTCAAAGCAGCATGCTTGTTTTCACATGTAGATTCTAGCCTGTGACACATACAATAGTGTGTGTGTGTGTGTGTGTGTGTGTGTGTATGTGCGCCTTATATACACACACATAGGTGTAAGGATGGGTAAAGTTTAGCAACTCTAGATGGGTGTATTTTTAGCTTGATAAGTATAGCTCCACAAGTAGCTGTGAGCAATTAATGTTTCCACATGCTGGTGCCTCGGATCCTCCACATAGTAACGCTTTGCACAATTATAGGTAACATAATAACCACTCACTTCACTTAGATTGTACTAATTTTATACCCATTCAGTGTGTGAGAGCAGTTCTATGTGCAGATTTGGGGACTTGACCATAAGTCAATGATATTTTAAACCCTCTTTAAAGGTTCTCACGTTTGTTCTTTGTGTGCGCATGTGTGTGCACATGTGTGTGCGCGCACTCATGTGGAGTGTGTCGATATGCGCAGGGTATGTGCAGGTGCCTGAAGAGGCCAGAGGGTGCAGTGGGCTCCCTGCGGCTGGAGTCAGTCACCCACCAGGGATGCTACATAGCAGAGCCCGGCCCTGGGCAAGCGCAGTGAGTGCTGTCAGCTACTGGGCCATCACTATCTCTGTCATGATATTCTAAGCAAGGCATTTTCCTAAAACTATCTGAATTAGCAGACAGGAGTCTAAGTCAAGATGAATTTTTCAGAGTCAGTGTATTCTAGGTTAGAATCTTGCTTGTTTTCTATATGAGTAAAATGACTTTGAAATACTGACAATTGTTAATGTACATGGAAAATATTCATCAGTGTGTCCATGAGTTTCCCATAATTCTGAAAACATAATTAGAGTTTGTCACCAAGAGAAATAAGTCAAATCCAGGTATCTTCTGCGCTTAATCACCTCGAAGTCTTTTATCAACACTGTGTAGACATGGGCAAGAAAGGTGCGAGTCCTTTGCAGCAATGGACTTGGGGCACATCAGTGGCAGACTAGGTTACTGTGGTCATCCACAGAGCCACAACAACATGACAGCAATTAAATGTGTAATTTCATTACACATGGTAGAAATGGGGGCGGAGCCTGTTGTTTTCACTTTTGCTTGTGGTTTTAAAAAAGAAATAGAAGCCACACCAAACCGAGAGAGCTGCCTCAGATTCAGCGCACCTCCCCTTCTGCTCAGCTCCTCCTGTGGGAAGCCCTGACCTAGCCCATCCCGTCTTCCCCGTCACTCCTTTAATACTTATTTTTTCAGTGTCTTAATACTTTCACAGTTTCATGCATCTATTGTGAATTTCATAGCCTCTTTACTTCTCTCTCTCATCTTCTTCTTCCCTCCCCTGCTGAAACCCCTCTTCTCTTACTTTCATTTTTATGACTCAGGAGTTTGACTAGGCTTATCCGGATGATCACAGGTGTGCAACTATTTTTTATCTGGATCACTAGTAGCTTCATCAGCTTATTGCTCATGAAAATGACGCCTCACCGCCTGCCCAGCCATCAACTGCTAATGGTGTTCCAGGGAGGAATGAGGCTACACGAACCTCTCCCCCGTTGTGATGCCATGTTTACGGGCCCCACCTAGCACATGGCCACCGTGGACTCACTGTCGTCATTGCCATGTTGTATCCAGAAGAGTGCCTTTCACAGCAGCCTTCTCTCTCTGCGCATTCTTCTGCCGCATCCCCTGACTTGGAGAAGGTGGTATAGGTGCCCTGCGCAGGGCCGGGCAGTCAATAGAAACTGCAGCTTTCACGTTGCCGGGACGTCTTACTCATTGTGAGCCCTGTGAGCTGAAATGCCAGCCTGCCACCAAGATGCGCCCACCAGTGCATTAGTGGCATGGCCATCATGTAGGTGACCACGTGCTCTCTGAGTGGATCTGTACATACAGCTTGAAATTTATACCTGGTACCATCAACCTGTAAAAGTACATGTACAGGGAATACACACGCCTGGGGGCACTACTGTTGTTTTTCTGAACAGACTTGTTGTGAAATTATTTTCTAAGTATTTACATTTATGTTTTTCTATCCATAGGCTAGCGCTGGCCCCAGCACTGTTTGGAGGAGTTTCTGCTTGCAGCAGGTTGTAGGTAATGCAGGGACTAAGCTGGTCAGAAAGCTGGTGATTCCTCACAGGCTGCTGATCGGGCAGCTTCCTCGACTTTTGTCCTGTGTCTGACAACTACAAAAGCCCTTGGTATTGACCACACAAGTAGGCAGGAGAAGGATTAAGTGTGTGTCTCAAGTGTGGCAGTAATGTGTGGTAGTGTCAGGAGTCCAATACCCTTTACAAGTGTGACAGAGTAGCACAGCCATTTCCACACCCAAGCCTCCATAAGCCTCTCATCTGCATGCTCACACTCATTTGCACTCTTTGCAGCTCTCTCTGTCTCCCCTTCTTTATCTCTCCTCTGCTTCTTTCTCTTGGTTTCTGTGTGTGTGTCTCACACACACAGTCACATAATTCTAGAGGAGGCATAGGAGGTCTCAAAGCTGAAGATCCATATAGAGAGACAATGAAAGCACCAACATGTCCATACATAAGAAGGTCAAAGGTCAATGTGAATGGGAAGAGTTCACTCTGATTGGGGCCAGGCTGACTAAATCATGAGCAAACATTAGATGTGTTAGTTTTGATTCTTTGCTCATGAGATGGTGAAAGACTGAAACACACACACACACACACACACACACACACTTTGGTGTGTTTATAAAAGTGAGAACTCAAAGAGCTAACACTTTCTGAGTTTCATATAATGTGAGGTACCTTGTCTGGGACCCTGACAATTCCACACATACAAACACACCCACAATGTATACTATGCATACAAACTGGTGCAGGAACAACACATGAAAGGAAGCAATTAAATAGAAAAAAAAGTAGTTTGTCAAAGAGAATCATGTCAAACTTCATTCCAAAAACAAATGTGCTATTAAAAAAAAAAAAAAACATAGCTCTTTCTTCTTTCCCTCCTTCAAATGGGATGCTGATTAGAATTAGAATTATCATTAGATAATTAGCCAAGGAAGAAGGTCATGCTGAGGCTGGGCATCCTAATTGATCCTGGTCTGTTCTTCAAGCGCTATGGCACACATCTGGACTATGCTGCCAGCTGACAAAAAGCGTAACGCCTAGAATATAGCTCTGGTCTCCAAATGCTCAGCTGCAGGCTGAGCAATGCAGGACACACACCTGCAGCCGCAACACAGCCTGCTGAGCTGCGGCCCCGTGGACTTCCCAGGGAGCTTTCCACATCATTCTTCACTGTCACGTCACCAGCTCAGCCAGATTCGCCACTGTTAGAAATGATAACTGCCTGGGAGAGTGAGTTGCACTGAAGATTAAAATACTGTATCTGCTCTAGTTGCATTTCCTAGATAATCTAGGAAACCACTTAGGAAAACAACAAATGTGGCTTTTGTTTTATTACAGGGACGTTGGTTTTTTTGATATAGTGCAAAGGGTAAGAATATAGTCATTTACTGATATCCTAATTCATTCATTCTATAGATATTTACTGATCACCTACTCTTGGGGTTTGAAGATAATGTGAACACAGTATGAATCAAAACAGGTAAGAATCCTTACCCTCAAGGTGCTTGTCTTTTAGTTCAGGGAGAGAGACAATAAAACATTTGTTACAAGATAGGAATAATTGCTAGAGAAAACTAGAAACGAGACTAGCGAGTGAAGGTGGATGTGGTGCGATTCCAGTTGTAAATGAGGAGGTCGTGGGCAGAAGTCCAGCCAGGAGCCAGCTCCGCCTCTATGACACCAATGACCGGAGACTCCACCCAAGACTCCAGCATCAGAGGACCCGAGTGAAGAGCCTCAAATCTCAAGACTTTTTATTTTTATACATTTCTATTACATTTTTAGTATTAGTTTTATGTCGTTAAGATGTTTGTGTTCATGCTTTGTCTTTTCTCTAAATTTATTTACATATTTTCTCTATTTTTATAATCAGCCGTTTATCTTTTGCCCCATTATCTCCCCCATCACATGCTTTTCTCTTTTTCCATCACCTTCCTTAATTTCATTAATTCTTTTTCAATAATTTATTATTTTACCTTAGCTGATTTTTAACTTCCTACCTCTTTCTCTATTATTTTAAGCAATTTTCTTCTCTATGCATATTGATGGCTTTACTGTGCTCTGCTGTAGGCGTCATGTGATTTATTTAGAGTTCTGTATCTGCTCTGGCTTCATGCTGCTGCCATCCTTGTTTGTTTTCTCCTGAGTGTGACTACAGAACAAGCCTTCAAGAGAAGGCTGGTCACTAAGAGGACCAGATGCACTCAAAACAGATATGCATCTAATAATACTTTATACACGATATACATATAATTTATCCCAAATAAACTCAGAGGAAATACATACCCCAACATATGCCCAAAGCAAAGAGTAGGAACACAAGAATCATGAAAAAGCAAGGTAGCTCTTCCAAACAATCACAGCTCCTTGATGCATGAAACCAAATATGCAGAAATGACTGGGACAGCAGACAAGGACTTCCGGGCTACGGTTACTTGTAAGAATATATGGTCACCATCACTGAAGTGCCCTAGTAACTTTGAAACAACCCACTCCTGCCTTACCTTTGTTTGAATGTGAATGAACATGGTATCATACTTAGGTCTTCTTACTACACAGGCACAGAAGCAACATGCACTCTCAGAATTCTTTCCTGCAGAATATTAGGGACTGCTAACTGTGCTGCTGAGGCAGCCACAGCCTTACCTGTGTGGTGGGGCACTGTAGCGTGAGCATGATGGAAGGATTGCTGCATCTGAGTAGGTTAAAGTAAAACAAAATGGTCTTGTTCCTGTTAAAAAAAAAAAGAAAAGGAAACATAAATGATCCCTTTAGTGATGGTAGGAATGCACATCAAACCAAAGAAACTTCCTTTTCTGTAGATGGGTGCAGCGTGTTCTCAAACTGCCTTTACACTGCCTAATAATCAAAGCATTGTTTTGCAATTATTAAAAGTTGAAATAAATTGTCCACCAGCAGGAGACTCTGTAATATGAAGTAAACAATCACACTGTTGTTGGAAATGATGCTGACACACATGTTTAATGGAAGGAGAAATTAATAACATTTGTTTTAGAAAGAAACTTAAAAGATTATTAAAATGATTTTACTATGGAGATAAGTATTTAATTATATGCAAAAAATCATTATATCTAAATTTGGGGATTATATTTCTTCATTTAACATTTGCATTTATGAATTTCTTTAACATAAACATGTATTATATTGGTGATGCAAAAAAAAAAAAACAACCAACAGTTATACTTCCTATTAGTAAGTGGCAACCATGAGCCATGTTGTTTGATGTTCTCTTCGAATTTCAGTTATTTCATTTGGGAGAGGAGGACAGCAGCCATGCCAGTTCACAGTGGTGTGGAAAAGGCCCCAGATGCCAGGCGTAAGCCCTTACACAGCTTCAGCATGCAAAAGGAAAAGGTAGGCTCTGACTTTAGATCATGTCTCCGGCTCCTTCTCAGCTCCCAAGCCTCCAAGTGGCTGGCCACATGACTGCGGATTGGCAGCGCTTTCTCTAAGCTCCTCGGTGGGTTCAGATGGTCGTGGTCCCTGCTCTTAAGAATCACAGCTCCAGTGCTGGGCATGTAGCTCAGTTGGCAGAGGGCTTGCCTAGCATTCGTGAAGCTTTGAGTTTGCTCTCTAGTGCCCCATAAAATCCAAGCACAGAATGACTACCAGCACTTGTGAGGAGAAGGCAGCTAGATCAGAGGTTCGTAGCTGCTCTCGATACACCACAAGTTTGCAGCCAGCCTGGGCTACATAAGACTTTGCCTAAAAGAAACAAGAGACAACAAAACAAACAAAAAACCACCACCACAACAACAAAAATCCACAGCTTTAACAACTCAAGAATAATTTCCCCCAAGAACTTGTCCAACCCCCAAGTCAGTTATGTTGACTACATACACAGCATCAATGTACAAGGGCCATGTGATAAAACCTTTCCTTTCAGTCTCCGTAAGATCCAGCCCTGAGAAGGTAGGAAGTTCTCCGGAGGACTAGTCTTTTCCTTCACCCCTACCACTTCCTGCCCATGAGCATCAAAGCAGAAAGGGCAGGAGGGAGTGGACCAGAGGAAGAGCTGTTGACAGATACAGGAGGGTTAGGAGGAGTTTCAGGGAGGAGAGGCAGGTTGTCTTTCCAGTGTTAAATGGCAGAGAAGTCCACCCTCTCGCAAAACCCGAAGGCACCTCTGGAAGGACAGACCAACGTGTCACTCTGCAGCGCTGGCCTCAGCTGCGGAAGGCCTGCCTCCGTGCCTGTTTCCGGAGAGGAGAAGACAACTTAAAGGAGTCCTATGAACAGAGCAGTGGCTGGCAGCCTGGCGCAGCGGGGCGGAGTCACACAGGGGGCTTGGATCTGACTAGTGAGCTCCAGGAATCTGCCCATCTGTGTCCTGCCAGCATGGGATACACATGGCCACAGTGGCCATATTTTTACATGCTTGGTGGGGATTCAAATCAGGTCTTCACATGTGGTGGGCACTTTAGTGACTGAGCCTCACCAGTAGCTGCTGCTGTCACCGTGAAGATGCAATTCAGGAGTCGTCAGTGCCGTTCTTGGGGTGGCATCTAAATACCGCCATGGCCTCCCAGAAGCCTGGAACCTTAGTGCTTCGTGAGGCAGAGCCATGAGGACTTCAGGAGCTCCCGTATGCATGCCTACACGTGAATGAGCATCCGTGTCCGTGCATGTGCAAACCCCACAGCCATACACAACAAATCGCTCTTTTTCTCTTATTTTGGGGATTATGATATAATCACATCATTTTCCCTTTCCCTTTCCTGCCTCTGACCCCTGGTGTACCCCTCCTTGCTCTCTGTCAAAGTCTTGTCTGCTTCCTTCATTAATTGCCATTGCAGGCACACATGTACCTCATATACACAAACATTCTCAAACATAGCCTGTTCAGAATGTAGAATGCTACTCATATGTGTGTTTTTGTGGCTGACCGTTTTGCTATTGCACTATCAGCTGATGTGCTCTTCCCTGGAGAAAACCATCTCTCCTGCTCTCAGCAGCCCTTGGTTGCCTGTAGGTCTTAGTGTGGGCCTGTGGCCTCTCGGCCTTTCTCACACGCACTTTGGCATGTCTCCTGGAGTCGAGCCTGTTCAGCTCATGTTGGGGAGACTGTGTTGGTGTAGCTTCCAGCATTGGTGTTTGGCACAATCCTACAGTAAGCTCCTCGCCTCTTACAGTCTCTGCCCCACTTCTTCCTTGACGTTCCCTGAATATTAGGCGTGGGGGTGTTTTGTGGATTTGTTGCTGGGGCTGGGCTCCACAACTCTGTGTTTTGATTGGCTGTAGTTTTCTGTGATGGTCTCCATCTCTGCAAGGAGAAGGTTCCTTGGTGAGGGCTAAGGGCCACACTTCTCTGTCAGAGTGCAGTTTAGGCTGTTTCGTAATGTGGTGGTTGAAGGTTCTTCTCCAAGATCCACAAAAATAACGTGGAGATGAATCAAAAAAGAAACAGTGTCAACCTCTGGCCTGCGTGTGCACAAGTGTGCACACGCCCATACACACGTGCGCACACCCAGCAAACACATACATAACATACCCACAAAGATTAGCTGAGACTGAGGAAATGCAGACCTGTGTTGGGTGGAACATCATCCAGCCACAAACAAAGCAAGATTATGAAACTTGCAGGAAAATAGAATGAGTTGGAAAATATTGTATTAAGTGAAGAGAGCCTGACTTAGAGGGTCTTAGTGTTCTGTATATTCAGGTCACAGCTTTTCGTGTGTGTGTGTGTGTGTGTGTGTGTGTGTGTGTGTGTGTGTGTGTGTG